ATTTTTCGGTCTATTCCATAATAAACTATTATCATTAGCGTTTGTCTTTTTTTAATGGAAAATCGAAAAAAAATACGCACCCAAATAAGACGCACTAAACTAAGACACACTAAAATGAGAATGCACTAAAATGGATGGGAATGCACTCATATGCTAGGTAGGTTTCCAAAGCCAGAAACGTTTTGTTCCAAAACTTTTTTCTGATATGTCTCGATTGTAGAGCACATCGAGAAACCTATAAAAAACTAGTTTTGGGGTTTTTTAAAGTGTTTTTGCTCCCTCAAAAAACCTCAGCGTGCGGAAAAGAGAAGAAAAGTCCGTCTGGCGAGCTGTGGAAGGGTACCAAAATTCTGAAAACTACTTTGAGGAATGTTCCATGTAAGGATTACGAGATATTGAGCTTTTCAGATTGAAATATATTTCAGCTTTATTTTGTTATTTTGAACTTGGGTTTTAGTAGCTGGTAGTTATCATAGTAACGACTTCAACTGCCATATAAAAATTTGGAAAAGCAGTGTTTTATGATCATGATCGAACTCAGAATGTACGAAAATCTACGAAACGCTATTTTTTATCAAAACTGAACATTCCTCAAAGTTGTAGAGAATATAGTTCTTGTCCCACTCTATAATAAAAACCTTAAACGCTTTGTCGATAAAAGGGAAAATATGCTGTAAAATTCATCGCGGTACTTATCAATTCGTACTGAGAATGGCACCGAAACCAATAATTTTGCTGGAAGAGTAATAGTCATTTTTCTCGGTTTCTGCATCAGCTATGAAGTTAGAAAAGACATTCTCTTACGCACCTTAATGTGATCTTTAAAACTAGACTAGTCTTAAATGAGCAATTCATGGTTTCTCGGAGCTCATAAACGCCTGTTTTCATACCAATTATTTCGTTTGTTACCCATGTTATCAATTCACTTTAATCGAATACAGAACAAAATATTAAGTCTGTCACACTAAGATCTTACTAGCATATTTACCTGTTTTTATCAGACAAAAACATATCATCGTGAAGGAAAAAATAAAGTTCATTTAGAAAAAGTGCTATTTCGCATTCAGCACACTCGATAACCCAGAAGATTTTCTGTGTTTGGCGAGGGATGCTGCCAATAGTATAGGAAAAGTTTTCAAACGAAATGGCGTAAAATAATTTCCGTGGAAAAATAATATTAGTTTTAAAACTTTTCTTAAACTTTTGTCAGTAACTCTCGTCAAAAATAGAAAATCTTCTGGGTTATCGAGTGTGCTGAATATAAAAAGCACCTTTGCGCGATTCTAAATAAACTTTATTTTTCTATCGGTAATATGACATTTTGGTTTTGCCATTTTCAATAATAATGAATATTGACCTAACTGCTTTCAATTTCAATTACTCAAACGCCGGTAAGCAATCTAAACTCCAACTCCGTTTCAAATACAAGTTAAAATCTATTCTTTCTTTTTCCTTTCCGTTTCTTAATTCGTCCGTATAACGGTCATGTGTTCTTTTATAATAGTATACACAAAAAAGATCATTATAATAAATCAGCCGGAGTTGAAGAAGTTTTGAACCGGAGTTTCGCAGTTGGAGTTGACAAAACCTGTCATCAGCTCAACTCCGGTCGTTTAAAAAGCAAACTCCAACTCAACTTCAACTCCGCAGAAAAAGACGCTCAGCTCCCGAGTTGAGTTGCGCAGTTCTGGTTTGCGTCCGTCTGGATCTGGCAAACCTATCTCCTTTTTTGCATGAAGAGATTTTTCCAACTTTCACATATCATTCGAATTATCAACTCACGGACAATAAAAGTACCTGACGGTTTTGCAAAATTTTGTTCCCTCAGGCAACAACCTGATGGTTTTGCCAGGTCAAGGTCTCAGTTAGAGATGGGAAGGGAACCGTTTTCGTACACGTACCCGTCCTAAAAAAAATTTTTCTACTCATACCCCACCCGACTTGACCCGAGAACTTTGTATCCATACCTGACCCGTACCCGACAATTTCGTACCCGTATTCAACCTTCGGGTCGGGTCCGGTACGGATCGGATTGTACATCTCTAGTGTCAGTGTGTCGTTGAACGAGTCTAGTTCAACTTGCTGAAAGAGGTAATAACCATGAAATATTTTCAAACTTACATAGACTTACTTCTTTTTTGATGCTTAGTCCGAATAAATTACTTTCAAAAAGTTAGAGTAAATGTAAACGCGTGAAATTCTGACTTTTCTCAAAAACTGTCAAAATTTCATTTTTTTTCTGTAGCTTTCAGTATTTCTCGATCAAAACTCGAGTGAAAAAATTTAAAGAGGACATTCTTGATCTACTCGTTGAACTCTATCAAACCATGTATGATTCAAGCAAATGGAAAATCCGCTCCTCTTTTGTATTTCCGGCACTTTATAATCAACTAGACAAACTCTGTCTATTGATTGTGTCACATTTTAATGCAGAACTATTAGTGGATGTTAGTGTATTTTAGAAATACGCTACACTCGGTACTAAAAACTCTGCAAAGAATGCAAACATCGTCTACATTTCTCTTCAGACCTTTTTTCTGAAGTTCTTACTTTCTTTTACTGGTGTGTTAGTCAGTCGACGTTCCAATCTTTGGTTTTTTAATTTTTTGTTTACTGTTTAAAACACAACAAAGAAAGAAAAAAAGATAAGAAATCATTTTCACACATGATTATCATCATCTTAGAAGAAAGCGGAAAAAACAAAAACAATCTAAGTGCAACCTACGAACAAATGTTGAGGGAAAATAATATCAAAAATGCGATCACGGGTGCCGAAAATCAAAGAAAGTGGAGAAGAATATACAAATAATTTGAATAAAAAAAAGCAAAGCACAAGAACAAGAAAAAATAGAAATTTATTTGTTCAAGTGAAGTAGTAAATAGAAATTGTCTAATAAAATTTATCTAATGAAATAACCGGAAAAAGAGCAAAGTTTGTCGTATCTTTCGAAAGTTGCAACCGCGAAAAAAGAAGAGCATAAATCATGAATAAAAATAAAAAAGTTATTAATCTGAACACATAAGATGATTTGTTGTAGATATGGATAAATTTAGTGGATGTTGAACACTCAAACTATTATTGTTACGATTTAAATCGACGTTGTTTTGAGGTGATGCTGAAGATGATGATGCCGGTGATCCTTCGTTTTGTTGATGATTTGACGGACTAACTATTGGACTTGTTTGTTGTTGTTCATTGATCTCCAACAATGATTCATTCAATGCACTGCTGGCTAATGCTAGTTCTTTCGCATTATTTGTCCATAGAAAACATGACATCATCGAATCTAAACGTTGATCACTGATACTAACAGCATTACTGTTTAAATTTGGTATTGATGATGGCGATGACATCATATTTAACATTAATTCATCTTCACGCATTAAGCGTTTACGTTTATTTGGTTGACGACGTTTTAATTCAACAGGATATTTTTTTCGTTCGTTACAAAATTTATAATATAATTTTCTGACCAATAATTCAATACTACCAATAACTAGTACACTATTCGGATAACGTTCAACAAGTCGACTAACAATTGAACGTAATTCGTCTGCATTGGGATATCTAAAAAAACGAAATAAACGCAGTAAAATTTAGCATGCCTTTACATCATCAAACTTACAACTCATATTTAACGATTTCTTGATATAATGCTTGTACTAATGCATTCAATTGATTTTGATCAGCTGAACCATTAAGAAATGCAGCGATATGTGGTGGAAACCGAGGTATTTCTATACCCGTCAGTGGTTTTGGTAATAAATCGTACACAATATCACTTTTATTAATTATATTGTGATTTAATGTATTCTCGGTATTCATTGTTGGTGAAGCACTAAACATAAAGCGGTTATAGATTATATGAGGAACATGCACACACATCTATATACATACGTGCTCATAGCATCATCATAGATTCGTTCCATTTTGATATTTAATTGTGATGATAATAGATTGCTGTTATTACTGCTAATTAAATCGTTCTGTTTATCACCATCATTATTATTATTATTATGACGATTTGTTACTGTACTCAAAGTCGATGGATAATTACCGTTGTTTTCATCTAAAATTGTCATCGGTGTTGTAGGTAACGATGTTGTTGCCGTAATAGTAGGCGTTGTACATTGATTTGTTAGCATTGGTGCAGGAGTAATCATTGAACTTTTAATATTATTCCCATCGCTATTTGTTGGTGTCGTTGATAAACTGTTTAATGTTTTTGACGTTGTTGATTCACTATTTTCATTAGTTGAACTATTTAAATCTTTTTCTCTACAAGGACAGAAAATAGTGACGATGATGTTTTGTACAAAAAAATGAGCTACATACATTAACACTTGTAATCGTCCTTCATCTGGAAAACGTTTAAATGATTCAATATCAATATATTCCCGATATTTTTCATTCCACATTTGTATAATTAGCATATGTTTTGGTATTTGTTGTAATTGAAATTCACGAATAATTAATTGTTTTAAATAGTCATGTGTCAAATTATATTCACTTGTTGGTATTTCAATTAGACGATTGCGTAAACGAAAACGACATAAATACGTCATTGTTGACGAATCTGATGTTGTCCTAGTCAAATAATAAATAAAAAAAGAATTAATGAAGATTTATGAGACAGATTTATCTACTAATGCTCGTGTTGCTTTTTACCCTATTATTTTGCTCATTAAGGATAATAATAGTATTATAAATGAAAAGAAAAATACTCTGGGCTCAAAACTAGATTAATTGAAAATTGTCATTTAAATAAGAAAAATTTTACATTTTTTATATGCACTGGAGAGATAAATCCATTACACTCAGACTCATGAAAGGCAGAGTTAATAAAAATTGCCACAATGTAACGTGTCTTTTCATATTAAAAATGTTTTTATTACGATAGTTGCGCAAGGAGTAACGCAAAAACCTATTAATAAAAGCTTTTCCATGGACCTTGGTTATTAGTCATTTCAAGTTTTGTTAAATCTTACAAACGAAAAGCTGGCAGTTTTCTTCAATCGATATTCAGAATTTGAACATATCCTTTCTTAAAAGACAATGTTCAACATGATCGATGAATGGTACTGCAATCCCACAGAACATCTAACACCAGTTCTCGGGCTCCTACAAAATTTAACGCCACCTTTGTTTCAATGATGGTGGATTCTTTTTTTTATTGGAGACTTCCGTAGCTATTTTCCTACATGAAAAAACGAATACATTTGTATTTGGCATGATGAATTGACTTTTCAAAGATCTTAGAGAGATCACACCTTGAAAAAAGATTTTCAGACATTTTTTAAAAAAGGATGTCTTCAAATCTTGACTATCAAATGAATAAAACTGAAACCTGTTTTTTTCGTTCGAAAGTTAGTTAACCAAATACAAAAGTTAAATATTTTTGACATATATAACGGTATGGTATAGAGATCTGATTTGGTTTCAACTTATGATTTCTGAGTGATCCCAATAAGTGAGCTCTCTGAACAGTATCTGTTCTTTTGTACGAGAAAGAGGAAAACGTTCGTATATTAAATAAAAAAGTGCGCGAACATGGAAATGTGAATGTTTCCTTTTTGCCAAAAGATTTCTTGACTACGTTTTCCGAATCGAATCGGATGACGTTTTTTTAAAACCGTGATGGTCTTTAATGCGGTGTCAGAGAGGTGATCGAACGTACAGAAACAATTTATGACAGACCTATTCAGTATTCTTTCTTTTCCTCAAGAGCGTATTTTGAGTATAATAGAGACATGTTATATTCAGAAAGATAAGAGATCAATCAATTGATTCTTTAGAGATATCGCTAAGAAAAAGCAAAGTTTACAAATCGTAAAAATAGTGACAAAGAACTGATATCAGCTGTCGTCTAATCGCGGTGATAACGAAGTCTCGCTCGACTCTCGCAGGCGTTTTTAAACAGTTGAAATCTCTTTCTTGTTGGTCATACTTACACTCTTCACTTTTTCTTTTCTTTGAAACAACTTAGAGAAGAAATTATGAAAAAGATCCTCACGATTAGTAACGTAGAATGCTGGAAAATCCATTCAGTCGAATATACGAATTCAAGTTTGTAGTAGAAAGTTAATGTCTTCGAGTTCGTATTTATACAAAATTGATTCCGTGTTATTCGGTAGTTCATGTAGTTTTAGAAGACTACGATGAATTTATTTCCGCTCGCACTCTGGAAAAACAAAGCTTTAAACGAAAACTCTCATAAATAGCACAGAAAGAACTTTTTCTTTTTATAAGGCAGCGTCCTTCTCTTGTCTTCTAGACCGAGGTACACTATGTCATTTTCTATCAGCGTCGTACCCGAGCATTTGGATATGTCAAATTAATATAAGCATTTATTGTAATACACACTACTGATTTTTCTAAAACTGATACAAGAGTAAAATATATATGATTGATAAATGTTACCCTTGAAAAACATATTCTTCTATCTAATATTAAGGCGCATCATTTTTACGATCCTGGTATATTTTATTACTTCGTATCCTACAACGATGTTTCGAGTACTTAAAATTCTTAATTTACCTACTACACAAAACGATTAAATTCAAATAATAAATATCAGTAAATATAATCAATCACATCCGAACAGTAGAAAAAAAAACAGATATAGTAAGATTTCTACAAATTGTGAAAATAATCATCACAACAATATTTATTTTCATGTATCTTCTACCGCTGGTACATACCGTTTCGATTCCTTTTGTGTTAACATACTACAAGGTAATGATAAATTAACTAATGAAGAAGAAGAATCCAAATTATTGTGATTTTTTGTATTTAAATAAGTAGATGAATAATTTAAATTAGAATTATGAATGATAGATAAATTGTTACTAGGTAAATTATCGAAATGATTGTTGTGATTTGTCATGTTTTTATTAACTAATGTTTGATAATAATTTATAAATGTTGGATCATTTAGCGCAGCCGTTAATTGTAATGTATGAAGTGCTGCTTTTTGTTGCTGTTGTTGTTGGAATTGTGATGGTATTTCGACATTTGATGTTGATTCGTTGATAGGAATATTTTCTTTTATTGAACTCATTGATAGAGTCTGTCGTGGGAGTGATGGCATGGTTGTTGAAGCCATAGCTAATGTTTTAGCTAACAATAGATTATTTGTTATCGATGTAAGTTCGCGTTGTCTTTTAACATGACCACCACCGCCACCATTATTGTATGATTTTGGTGCTGATATATCACGCGTACGATGCATCTTTTCTATTCTATCTAGAGTAGTCGAAACTAATTGACCAACGATTTTGTAATACGAACTATAGTGTTTGGCACAATCATCTGTATTTCTGTCATTCACTCTCTTGTTTCCTTCGCACTTTTTTTATTCAGAACTTTACAGAACAAAATTCTATTTCGTTTCTGTTTTATGTACGTTAAATAACAAATCATTATAGAATAGATGTACAACAAGAAATAAAAAATACGTAAGACGGATGAAATTAAACTTGTTTTCGTAAGAACGATATATAGTAATAACAATTTTTAAATAAACTGTCAAGTTGGCTGGCCGTCGGCTAGTCCAACTATGTACGAAAAAGAAAACTTATAAACAATTGCATTAATTGAAAACAATAGAGATTACACTTAAATGATGCTACTATAGAAGGGAAAAGAAGAGAAATAACACCTTTTAATCACATAATTAACTTTAACAACCTTTTCTTTATATTTATGTGCGTATGTATGTTTAAATAAGCAAAATCACAGACGATTATACAAGAGTAAAATCATAGGGCATATATATAACAGTACTTCAATCTGGAACGTATAGTGTAGAATTAGAAATTGAAGAAGCGCTAGCTACACAATAAATAAAGATTATACACGGTCATTTGTTCTTTAATCCAGTAATAAAATATAGCAACTGGAAACGCTTTTTATAAAACTGTGCCACTATTCTCCAACGTAGCGGTAACTTCTCTTAAATTTCGTCTGGTACGAACAATGGCGCAACCAGAAAAGGCAATACGATCCTGGCTCAAAGACATTTTGGAAATTTGTGATTCTTTCAGCTAAAGATTTTCAAAAAAATTGTAAACCATCAACAAAGTAACTCTCTCCGATGGTATTGCCAGTACAGCTATCTGCTTCCCGGACAAGATCTGCGTGAAGATGCTCACGTTGTATAGGATTTTCCAGAGAAATTTTTGTCAGTCAAAATTAAAGTTGCTATTTTCTAGACCGATAAAAAACTCAATGGAGTATTTTTTTATTTCAGACACTTGGCAATTACTGTTGTCGAATTTTTTACATGAAAAACTCAGTTTCTCGTTTGACGCTTTACCACCCTCTAGTTGAATCCACTCGATCGAGCGGTTTACACTCATGTTTTATGACGCTTTGATGTAACAAGTCAATTAGCGGAGATGTGCAACTCCGACCGAGTTCAACATCAACTCTGACTTCAACTTTGTTCCAACTCCCAGAGGAACTTGTCTTGTTTTCTTCTGCTTTATCTCAAAAGTGTTAAATTTGAACGCGTATTTTTTATTCTACATGGATAAGATTGAGAAAGAAACCCACTGTAAAAAAACACTCTCACAACTAGGGCTGTCTGCAACTCCAATGCCAGTCGAACTGATAGTTTTATCAGGGATATCCAAGAACATTTCTCAGATCTGTTTTATTTCTTCTTGCAAGGTTGCCAGATCGAAAACTTTGACTTTCGAGGTTTTTTTTAGTATGTTCGATATAACTCGAAAAGAATGATCAAACGTAAAAAATAAACGCTTGTCAGAAATGTTTTCAGATACCTTTGCTAAAACTGTCAGCCTGTGCGAATGAATTTTACTAGGGATGGTAATACAGTGTCAACTGAGGTCTATCAGCATTTCTAAGAAAATATTTGAGTATAAAAGATCCATCTATCAGGCTTTTTCTTGCAATGTTTGTTCATAAATCCTTAACAAAGTATTAGAAACAGGCTAGGTATTTCGAACAAGTAAATTTGTCCAACGTTTCCGATCAGAGTGAGAAAACCTGGGCAGTAACCCCACCTTAAAAAAGTTTATTAGATTGGGCTGTCAAATTTTCTGCATGTTTACTAGTAACTGTCTTCTGTAGTTTTTGGGCTCCTGTTTGTCTGCCAAAGTTAATTTGCCTGACCCTGATCAAAACAATTGGAAGCCATGAATTTGTCTAAAACTGATTGATACTCACGAACATTAAACAAAAGTATATCTTTTGAAGTTTTAAAAAGTAGCTGCAAAATGTCAAGATCGTCGCGCACACATAATCGAACGTCAGAAAAAGGCTGTTACTATAGCATAAAATGTTATATTTTCGAAACGTGTGATTATATTCAGAAATAGACATTCACGGATGTGTATCGGACACATACAGTTACATATATCTGTGATGATTCATATTTTGGATTATAACGACGATCGTCTTTTTCTTTCTTTTTCTTTTTTTTGCTAAACTCATACGTTACCGAACTTCTAGTGATGTTCATTTTGAAAACACAACAAGTAAAATGTCTGACATTCGGGTTACTCTTCGTTTTTTTGAAAGAACAGCCCAATAAGATGTACTTGATATCATAATCTAATTAGTTCTGTACTAAAGTTTTTAATCAACAGTTTACTTTCTGAGCATTTTTTAGTAAGATCTTGATAAGAGAATGAAAAAATTCAAGTTTACTACAGAAAGATCAGATCAAAAGGCAAATTGGTATCGTAGTTCTTCATTAGTAAGCTGAACTAAGAGCTATTTTACCACTTTGCGTACTAAGGTCGTTATGAATTATTTTGTAGCTTTACTTACTTTTTTTTACCGTTTATGTTCTATTTCTTTTTTGATGTAGACTAGGTTAAATAAACGGATGTAATGGAAAAAATTTAGTTTAGATTTAGAACATGAAAAACTAAAGTTTTAAACAATTATTGGTTCTATGGGGATAAAAGAACTAGAGATGTGTGCAGGGTGAAAAAATGAAATCCAAATTCGATTCGATATAGGATCGAATCGAATTGCAGGTTTCTAACTGGACTCAAAGCGAGTACCTTTATCAGGTATTGCTCGACATTTATTTTAACTTACTATGTGCTAGATACAATAAATATGATCATGTGTTGCACTCTCTAAAAAAATTTGTAGCTTACAAAATGACTATTGATTTTGGCAGTTGCTCCTAACAGAAATCGATATCGGTATCTTACAGTCCTATTTGACCGAGCAAAACAGCGACAACCGAGGAACTCGTTTCTGCACGGTGAGGAAAATGTTCCAGTATATTGTGTGAAACGGTTAAACAGGATTGTAGAATTCTAGTTTTGCCTGCAACAATGACATATGTAGAGAATGAGGCTAAGGCTTAAAAGATCGCTGTATGATACATTATCGTTTTGTTAACAGTAAAATAAGCATCAGTTTGTGAATATTATTATATATTTTTAATTTGTATTATTCAAGAGGTGCATGATTTATGAAGACACTGAAGATGTTGTTATTAGACAAATATGTATGTATGTGCTGTGTGATATAAAATGAAAATTTGGGTATTTACCTTGAACATTTTGAATATTCACGATCAATAAAAAAGTTTCGCTCACTATTTGTACGTGATAACATGTTCATTGTTGATGTTGCTGTTAACAATTTCTTTTGTGGAAACATTTTACAAAATCCCAATTTTTCTATAGATTAGTCAAATCTGACCATGTATTGAATAATCACCACACTTTTATTTAAAGTAGATATATAAAATATACATTCTGAGCGATATTTTTAACCTAAGATGTTAAAGTTTCATGTTCGGAGGTTTCAGAATAAGTATACAGTCGTATATATATATATATATATACATGTATAAATAATAATCGTATGTATAGTGTGAGTGTGTGTTGCTCATCAACACAATACAATTTCATCATTCCATCGTTTTTTTTTTACTTTTATTTTAAAAAAGAAAATCAAGTCAAGTCACTTGATTTTTTTTTTTGTATGTATGTCGCACACAATACACACAAGCACAAAATATCTTTTATACAATACATAAAATATCTTTATGACTTAGATATACGTCGTTTATTTATTAAACTGATACAATCAACCGTACGCACACACAGCAAACCCAAATATCGGGAAAAGCAACTTAATACACTGTGTGTATAGTTCTTTTTTATGCCCACAAGTTTCAAAAACTCCGATAAATACATCATACGTAGCGGAAAAGTGCACGATTAAATTGTACAGGTGTAAAAAAAGGTATTTCAGAACAGAGAGAAAACAAAACACAAGTATATGGCAGGATAAATGAAAAAGAAAAGCATTGAAAAAAAAAGAAGAATTTAATATCATTCACTATGCTGATGATAACAATTGACTGTTACGAGTTTTAAGTTCAAATGACGAAAAGACACACAATGTGCTATAAATAAATTAAACATAGTATAATGATCGGTCAAACTCTTGAAATATAGTGGACGCGTATGCATAAACAAAATCATTTTAAATTTTGAACTAGGTCAGATATGAAAAATTACATTGACTTCATCCCATGAGGTAAAAGTTATCATATTTTAGCTCTCTAAGATCTAAAGCTGCAGATTCATTATTATGTCAATTATACACGTGCCTTGGCTATCTTTATAGTGATTCATGAATTTTAACATGAAAGTTTTTGTCAAATTTGACATTATGTTTAATTATTATCTAAAAATGAAAAGACAATGCATAAAAAAAATTTCTTAATTTGTCTGTAATTTCTAAATCGTCTTCTGCTAAATCGTAACTATAGTTTAATTATGATCGGAAAAGAGGAGAGACGACTATTTTGATTAACAGCAAATATGATTTCTATGAGATTTATTTGAACTTTTTACTCAGGAATGTTTCTTGTCAGAAAGTGTATAGTGATATTCTAGGCAGAAATTGAAAAATACTTCAAAAAAAAGTAGTAGATTATAAATCCACAAGTATGGTACAAATGATAGTAAGATTATGACTCAAATTACCTGAGCATGATGAAACTAAACAACTTTTGTCAGATAGTGTTACCATGGGTAATTAAGATTTAGACAGCAGTACACCTATATGAGAGGATAAAGTTTTTTTTTCTTCTATTACCCACTCAACCGGGTTTCTTTTGGCCCATACTATTTACTCTATCTATTCTAAAATAGATAGAGAGATACAAAAATAGCAAACAGAACATGAATTATAAAACAAAAAAAAAGTTTTCTCTTTTTTTTTTGTGAAACAAAAGCACATACTGTTATTACATTTATATAGGAATATAGATGGTAACAAAATGAAGATAATGACATAGTTTTATAGGAAAAGATATGAGCTGAAAAGAAATAAATGGTTATGTTTGTTAAAGAGTTTCAGTTTTCTATTTACCTGTATATAGGTGCCAATATTATGTGTATAATGGGCAACAATCAAATTAGTATAGACTACGAAATTTAGTTAAACAAACACTCATCTATCTCTACATTAAGTTGTCAGATATTATTAGAATTACTACCATTAGACAAGCTAAAACACAAACTAATCATCTTTCTAAGTGAATTATCTGCACTTTTCTAAAAAAATGCTAAGTATTCCACAATAAAAATCTTGAACGATCTTGAGCCAAACTTGTAGATCAAATTTTTGACAATTTTCGTTACAAAGTCTTGGTCAACATTTAGGACTGATTCTAATTAAGTAGCTTATTAATTATCAATGAATTAACCAGAATCTTGACAAGTTTTGGATATCTGCACTTGAGATCGCAGATGAAAAATTAAAAATGTATTGGAAAAATCGTGATATTGTTGTTTTACTGGAAGTTGTTCAAGAGATTCCTCCCCACCAGCGCAACTTTATGAGCGCAAACTTTTAAACCTATCATTTAGATATATTATTGTAGAGTTTTTCTACGAACTATCGATTAACCTACGATGTAAAAGTGATTGAACAAATGTCGAGCAAGCATTATCTCTACATATCTCCGATGTGCTGGAAAGTGAATTATTTTTCCATCGAAATGACCAACGTCTGAACTTCAAAAAACATTGAAAAAAGCTTTTTTGTAGTTGAATTTGCGTGAGAAAATATCTAAATACCACATGTACTCAAAAAAAAACACTTGTAACGTAGCTTTCTTCTTTATTTTTTCACTAGCCTGAAGAGAAAGCTCCTTTGAAAACCAAATAGATGGGAATGTTGCCGATACAAAACTTTATTGATTCCTCTACTTCTAAAAATCCCGGAGTAATTTGTTAATATAGTGAAGTAAACGTATATAAAACTCATTTTTGGCAAAAATTACTACTTTGCATCAGAAAGATAAAACATCGAGAAAATCTGTTTATTCAGAGTTCAAACGATATTAGTAAAGACCAGACTAATGTGAGAGTATTAATGATAATGTGTAGAGAATTGAATGATTTCTCAGAAAAGACGTTTTAGCAGAAGGACAAAGTTCAATCAGTATTTGAAATCATCCATTAGTCTCACTATGGCTCTAAAACTAATGAAAAACTTTGACAGTTTCTGGTTGAAAATGGACCGAAAGATCATTCATTATACACCGATAAAAGCACTTCTAGTTTCTAGAATTACATAATTTCAGCCGTGTTCTGTTATAGGATAAATTGGATGAAAGAGATACGTTTGGATAGGACAGAAGTTACAAGAGCTTTCTCGGTGACATGTGGTATTTAAATATTTTCTCATTCAGATTCAACTACAAAAACGTTTTTTTTATATATTTTTTGAAGTTCAGAGATTGATAATTTCGGTAGAAAAATAATTCACTTTCCAGTACATCGGAAATATGTAGAGATAATACTCGACATTTGTTTAATTATACTTGCATCGAAGTTACACTCGTTGGATGGTCACTATAATTCAAATAACAACAAACGTCCGCTGTTTTTTCTGTATGGTATTTGAATCCTTCTAAATACATCTACTTAATCTCAAAAGTATATCGATATAGATTTAAACTTTCTGCAGAACGTGAGTATACTATTGTGAGAAACTATAATTCAAACTAAAATTACTCATCTAACAACTCTTTTTTTAATTTACATGCTTATCACTTTCGCTCTCCTTTTTCTTGTCTAGACTAGACTAGACTAGATTTGAAATACTTTTTTTCGTCACGTTTTATCTTCAAACAACTGATAAAAATCAAAAACTTTTCGCAGAATGGTTACATAGACTCCATCGTCTATTGTATTATCTGTTATTCAAATGTTAACAAATAACGAGATAGTGAAAAAAACAACAAAATATTAAGTTAAGAATATAAATGGATCTTTAAAGCTACCATGAAACATTTAATGATTTAAATCATTGGTAGTTTGTCAAAAGAAAGAAGATTGTACCGTTTCAATTTTCGAACTAGGAACAGCAACATGAATTTGGACATATCTACTAGAAAAGCTTGCTATTGGATCAGTTCAGCACAGCCTGACGAAGAGAGACAAACCTACAAACAAATCAATATTAAAAGGGATTAAATAAATTGCATACTAATCGACACAAAGGTTTTCTCGAGTCTAATTAAGTGAGTTAGAGAAAACATTATTTTGAACTTTCCTTCCCGATCTCTCGATATCTAAACAATTCTTTGATAAACAAAGATAATCGACTTAATATGCGAGGGTCTGCTTTGTGCACAGTTTTTAGGTTCAATTTGTCTCACTGTAAAGTGCATTAGGTAAGGATGCGAGGTGTTTTTTTCATTCTGTGTGCTTCTGTGTCTTTCTCTCGTGTACAAAACCGAAAAGAATTTTCCATTTGACTAAAAAGGATGAATGCCCATACACTTTTGACAGAGAAATATAAACGGTACACTCCCAATTAATCTCCAAAAGATAATAATCTCGGCTTTTATTGATCGTGATCAGAACATGTACATCAAAGATTCATTGTATAGTCTTGGTGGATCAAGATAGGCTAATATGAAAATGATACCAACGGCTTCTACATGCGGACGTTGACAGTGTCGGTATCATATTTGCTTTATCTTGGCCAAAGAACTGATGAGACGAGAATAAAGTTACTTTGCGCCTCCCTGTACCTTTCTCCAATTAGTTGTGTTTTCCAACGCAATAAAAGTGCATGAAATAAGAGGCTTTTTTTTCACTAGTCTACACACTATACATGAGTTTTGTCACAATGAAGTTCGAAAAATTAGTTTGGTTCGAGCTAGAATTATATTAAAGCCAAAATAAATGTTTACAATAACGGATAAAACTTATTGATAAATAGCTAATGTGGATTTGAATAAAATACATAAAAAGGGCTATTTTGTATAAATGTTTTATTTGCTATATCTATCGGATTTCGCATAAGTGTCAGTATGAAGACTTTAATTGGTTCAGAGCGAGCAAATACCAATTACTTACGTTACAAGATGAATAGATGGATTGCACGGGAAGCCTAAGCGTAGTTTCCCGCAAACCGTCAAACAAGCCTATGGATACTCATCAAAAGAAAAACTGAAATCGATAAAGAGAGCTACAGCATAAACGGGATATCTTTACTGATCAGATTTCTAATCATCAAATGTACCATATGATGTAAACAAAATACACTGAGTGCTCTGAAAAGTGAACCTACATAACACTTCGCTTCATATTTTGCGAAAAAAAAAGCGTACACACGTTGAAGCAAAGTTTGGATTTCCACTTTGTTTGTTAACATGAATATAAAACAATCTAGACTTATCGATATCACACATTAGCCATTTTTCTATTATAAAAAGAAAATAGGAAGACGCGTTTTCTATAGTCCAACCATGATTTTTTAGTCTGTGTCTGTCTTTACCTGTTTTTAGAAAAAAAATTGATAGTAGAAAAATTTCTTAATTTTTCATATTTGACGGCCGCACGCTTTTTTAGAACTTAGCTCAAAGATTATAATGGAAAACTGACGTCTACAGAAATGCGTGCCGACCACAATGAAAAGAGAAATGATGAAGAGAATTGAAAAATCCATCTGAACTTGCGTACATAGCTGCACTCAAAGTAACCTCCCCCATACTTTCAAAAAAATTTGCTCTGATTTTACGATTTACCTCCCTGCCTCCCCCATTCTCCGGACCTCTTCGCGCCGCCACTGTATTTAGTTTTGAAAAGTTTAAGACTATTATAATAAGAATTGTCAGTGCACCATTATGTAAAACAACGTGAGAAAAGGCAAAAGAAGTCAAATACTACAAATTGTTTTCTCAGTGCAGTCCTGAAGATTGGATTGTTCTGTAAGTTTGCTAACTGTCACAGTTTCGCATCGTCCAGAAGGATATAAATGCATGAAGAATGATTTTTATCGAAGAAGATCTATTGTGTTGTCTCTAGGCAAATTTTTATTGGCAAATCCGCTCATTATAGAAGCTAAAATTTGTATAAGAATTAGTTTCTTTTAGATTCCACTTTTTCTTCTCAAACAAGAGCACGGACAAACAACAAATGACTTCTCAAGATCGAGATCCAGATGAATTATTTGAAATTCGTACAAATTTTTATATTGGTAATTATCAGCAATGTGTAAACGAAGCCCAAAAAATTAAGGTAAGAAGAATTTACTATCGTCAAAAAGACAGAAGTTTTGTTAAAATTTCTTTTTTTGCAGGTCCCTCAACAATTACAAATCGAAAAAGATTTACTTATGTACCGATCGTACGTAGCACAAAAGAAATATGGTGTGGTTTTAGATGAAATTAATCAACAAACATCACAAGAAGAACTATTAGCCGTACGATTATTAGCTGAATATTTGTCGAACGAACCCAAAAGGTTGTTATCTACATGTTGTTGAAAGGTATAGAGTTGTCTGTTTCTATTTTCAGAGAAGCTATTCTCCGTGAACTTGATAACAAAATGGGTGGTAATGTGAAAAATTCGTTTTGTTTATTGATGGCTGGTTACATATATTATTTACAAGAAGTATAAGATCGAAGTGTTGATTTAATAAGTAATTATAGATATTTTCTTTTATCTTTTAGAATTACGAAAGCACATTGAAAGTTATTCACAATGCTGACTCATTAGAATGGTATAAAACATTGTTAGTCCCATTTTTTTCAATTCTAAATCATATTTTTTTGTTCTAGTTGTGCACTGACTGTTCAAACATTATTAAAATTAGATCGATTAGATTTGGCCAAGTGTGACATTTTCTATTGTTAATATTTGTAAATTTTCGTGTTTATTTTTGTTTAGAAAAGAACTGAAACGTATGACAGAATTAGATGAAGATTCTGTTATCACACAACTAGCAACAGCTTGGATTAATATTGCAACAGTATGTTGTTGTTTTGTATCAAAAAGTTTGCTTTTCTTTTTTTTCATTCGTAGGGTGGTGAAAAATTGCAAGATGCATTTTATATTTATCAAGAATTATCTGATAAACATACGGCAACTCCGTTGTTGTTGAATGGACAAGCTGTATGTTATATTGGACAAGGAAAATACGGTATGTGTGATGTTTTTATAACTTTCAGAATGATATCAATGTCTTTTATTTTTTAAGACGAAGCACAAAGTGTTTTACAAGAAGCACTCGATCGGGTATGTTGATAGAGTTTGTTGCACTGTACAGATATTTAGATAACAATATACGAAATGAATATTTATTTAGGACAGTAATAATCCAGATACGCTAATTAATCTCATAGTTCTTTCACAAAACACTGGAAAAGCAATTGAAGTATGTAGCGTGAAGATTATTTTTAATGATGAAATATTCCATGCTTTTTCGTTTCTAGGTATCAAATCGTTATCTATCACAAACGAAAGATTCTCATGCCAATCATCCATACGTCAGAGATCTGACACAAAAAGTAAGGATTTTTTTAATATTTTATTAGTTTAGAAAATTTTGTCAGACATTAATTAACAAACGCAGAAGTGATGATGGATTTTTTCCTCGAAATCTTGAGTGATACTAATTTAAATGTTGTGTAATTTTAATTTTAGACTTCAGAACTTGATCGTCTTGCACGTGGATATCAACCGTCTGTTGCGTCTTAGAGGTGAAAAACAAAATATCAGATTACAAAGATGTAAAGATGACTTTTAAAGGAATATTATCTACCACTGGGTTTATTTAAGTTCATTATTGTATTTTATGCTGTTAATCTGTTTTTTTTTGTCGTTGTTAGAAGAATTAAAGTATTTGAAACATATCTACTGTTACTGTGTATCGATGATATTTTCGGAAGTAAATGATTGTGAGTTTTCCAAGATATTCTTTTCTGTCTTTATTGAGAAAAACCGGGCTTTGATATTTTTTCCAAGAAGAACACTAACCACTTTTCCGTCGTTTTTTTTATGATGACAAAACCGCATTTATTTTTCTGCTACAATTTTCCTCGGCACTTGTATTCATCTTTCAGATAAGGTCTTTTTGTCTTCAAATAGTATAGACGTTCTAGTGCTTTTTGCTATTATCATATGACAATCCATTGAGAAAAGACAATTACAGAGAAACATACTATTTATCCTATATTTGATTACACGTCGATAAAATAGTTAATAGACATTGTGGTAGTTTGCGTTGGTTCCAGTCCATTCATCACTGTTTGAAACAACAAACCCACGGTTTTATTTGTATTGACTACAGTTTAGGTGAAATCTCGTTGTTAAACAGTTTTAAATTCGTACATAAGTCATTGGCTAAATGTTTGAAATGATACAATTCAACGAAAATAAACAAAGTAAACAAACTCTTTTAAACTCCATTCATAGCAGCAGAACAGCACTTATATAAAAATAGAATAGTGTAGTTATACTCTGATTATTGCTCTGTTTTATGAAATCATCGGCATCATGTTGACATAGATTTATTTTTTCAACATATCCGATAGATACGAGATGGTAATTTTCTAATATTACATTCTAAACAATTTCCATTATCGCTAGCATCTGGAAGTGTAGCTGGTGTTTTATTCAACGTTTCCACAGATTCTGTTGTACAAATAATTGATTGTTTCAATATAATACTGGTTAATGATATGTTTTCAAAACACCTGAGTAAATCTTGAACACGACTTAGTTATATGTACGATGAAAATGATTTGCTATAATGTAATGGACAACCATAGCATTTATTTTATTTAATCTTTTGTTCGTATTTCTTCTACTAAACAATTTTCACAAACAATACGCATACAGAAAAGGTTACAAGGATTCGACGAGTATATTAATATACAGAGTTTCACTTGCTACACCATCATTTAACCTTCTTGGTGGTTATTAAAACAAAAAAATCAGTTCAAAATTAAAATCTTTTTTGCCCAAGATTTAATAATAATTTCATTTATAAAGTGAGTTTTCCTGTTATGTATGTATTATTAGAGTTACAAATAGCAAATTCCAGTTTGTTTAATCATCAGATGGAAAATTAGTAAAAGACTGACACTGTCCAACGTGAATTTGCCTATGATTTGCAATCTATATATCTATGGGCATCTTAATGATTTGTGGAAGCTCAGTCCCAGAGTTTTCATATGCTGATTCGTATTATAGTCCTTCTCATGCTATTAGAGCTCTATTTTTAGATCTAATGACTATTACGGCTATCGGTTTCGAAGGAAGTGCAAATAAAATTGGTATAGGTGTAATACGTGATGGCGTGGTATTGTCAAATCCTCGATGTACATATGTGACACCGCCTGGCGAAGGTTTTCGTCCCAATTTAACAGCAAAACATCATAGTTCTGTTATATTAGATTTACTAGAAAAAGCATTATCTCAAGCTAATATTAAATCTTTGAATGATATTGATGTGTTTTGTTATACCAAGGGCCCCGGTATGGGTGCTCCATTGATAGTTGTGGCAACTGTGGTGCGAACATTGGCACAATTATATGATAAACCAATAGTAGGTGTTAATCATTGTATTGGTCATATTGAAATGGGTCGATTGATAACAAAAGCTCAAAATCCCGTTGTACTCTATGTAAGTGGTGGTAATACTCAAATAATAGCCTATTCGGAAAGACGTTATCGCATATTTGGTGAAACAATCGATATTGCCGTTGGAAATTGTCTTGATCGTTTTGCACGTTTATTAAAATTATCAAATGATCCAAGTCCCGGTTATAATATTGAACAATTAGCAAAATTAGGTAAAAATTATATCGAATTACCTTATACTGTTAAAGGAATGGATGTATCATTTTCGGGTATATTAAGTCATATTAAATCATTTGTAACAACAAGTAAACAATCAAAGAAGCAAAAACAACAACAAGAACAACATACGAATGAAGATTTATGTTTTTCATTACAAGAAACATTGTTTTCTATGTTAGTTGAAATTACAGAACGTGCACTTGCGCATGTTGGTTCAAATCAAGTGTTGATTGTTGGTGGCGTCGGATGCAATGTTCGATTACAAGAAATGATGAAACAAATGTGCATAGAACGTAATGCGGATGTTTGTGCGATTGATGAACGATATTGTATTGACAATGGTGCCATGATTGCACAAGCTGGCTATGAAATGTTTCGTGCATCAACAGATGGTAAAGGAATGAAATTAGAGGAGACAACATGTTCACAACGATATAGAACTGATGCTGTAAATGTAACGTGGAGAGATTGATAATAAACAAAATTATTTGTACCTAAATTTTATATGTTAATTACATCAGTCTATATTTCTAAGCATTTTCTCAAGATCGAGTATACTCTTTTTCTTGATGCTTTCTGTTTTTTTCTATGACTATTGTTAACATAGACTTTCAATCAAAACTCTTTCAATTCAATGTCATGTGTTACTTTGTCAAACTATGCTAATATCTCTAATGTTTATTCCATATCATATGAATAAACATTAGAGATATTCGCATATACACATAATCCTTCGTCAACCAGATTGATGATCAATCTGGTTGACGAAGGATTATGTGTGTAATGAAATGCTAATTGCACGAATCTTTTTTTGAACAATTTTAATTGCTTTTGTAGATGATGTCAGTTAAAATACATCATGCAACTCAGTTGAAAATCATACATGCTGAGGAAACAGATCATTGTTTAATTCAAGAACTGAGTCAACATTTAGCAGATTTATGTACAAAAATGATTTGATTTAAATCATTTTCATCTCTATCAACCCTATCTTAATCGTTTAAATAAATTTCTTTTGTTATTTAATTACAATATTATCAAATCATCAAACAATTAGTGAAGAATATGTAAGTTTAATACAGTTGATCCTTAGCCCTTTCTAGCTGGCTGTTTCTAAAACACAGCAAGAAGTGTTGCCAAATGTCAGCATCAGGCTGGAAAGGGTTAAACAAAAAAATAGCATCATATTGGAGACGATTCTTAATGGTATTATTAAATCCATTTAGTAATAAAATATTTGAATATCTGTTAACTAATCAACTTGTATATCCGTCAGCCGAAGGCTATTTTCATCCAAAATTATTATCATAAACGTTAGATTATATTGGAAAATTTATTATTTCGTTCATTGATCGAATACAGAAAATTTTATTTTATACTTATGGTGATTATTATAATATATCAAAACTATTTATACGTGTGAGATATCTGATCTATGCTCAGACAAATACTAATAATTCATTCATCAAACGTTAAATCGTACAATGAAATTATTAACATTGTGCCTAATTGTCCAACATATTATTGAGACATATAATTCCATTCAACATATAGCTTCATCGATTTATTCAACATCGACGACAATTAAATAAACGAATCACTATGGTGGACATTGTGAGAGAATATTGAGAAAACTAAACATAGCAACAAAACGTCATCAGTTTGTTGTCCACTTTGTTACTAGCATCCTGGGAATACGTTGTGGATTATCGAATGTGGACATTTATTCTGTTGGCAATGTATTCATAGGTGGCTTAATTATAATCAATCGTGTCCGTTATGCAAAATGAATACATCGCCATCATGAATTGTTCTTTTAGTGAATTATTAGCGTACAGATTCTCTTCTGATATCAATTTTTCATTAAGGTTTGTTAACGGCAAAAATACCTCTCTAACAAACTAAACGGTTCAACAAATGTATGGAGTTTAATTAGATGTCCCGTTGATTCTATTTAGATGATTTATCATCTTACCGCACGATGCAATAAATTTTTAGCTCTAGTGAAACTTCTTGTATCCAAGATCTTGGTCAAGATTTTGGGTTAAGAAATATCACAAGATCTTGAGCGGATCTACTTAAGATGATGCAAGGTCTTACGTGAAAATTTTTCTGTACATTTTGGTTTCATTTATGACAGTCGTAGCAATCAGACATACGACCATATAGAATCATAGGCTCTTCCTTAAAGGAAAAAGGTTCGAAGTTCTTCTAAGTGTGAAAATATTCCCACTTGTATTTACACACGAGTGTAAAACAAAACGATGATTCAAGCATTTTCAAGTTCCTGGTACAAGAAGTCAAGAAATCACAAGATGTTCAAGATCTTGCCTTCCTGAAATTTCTTGAATTCTTACATTTTCTTATCATGATGTTGAGTCTAGATCTTACTGGAAAAATTCAAGAAGAGAAGATCTTGCTTACAACAAGTTTCACTAAGGGAGTGTTTGGCAGCTGTTTTTATCTCGGGTTTCAATTCCTGATTAGAGCTAGAAGCTGCTTTGTGAAATCGAGTTCGCTTTTTCAATTAACAAATGTGTAAGAAAAAGTAGGAGTATCATATATACCCAGTAGTAAACCAAAAAAAAGAATTTTTTGGTCTTTAATGACCAAAACTTGGTTGTAACCATGTTCTACTAGTTATCAGATTGTCTTGACGATTTGATCCTATATTTTATATTCCAAATAATGCTCTAGTACTAAAGACGATAAGCAGAACAACGGAAGAAATTTCCAACTTGTCTACAAAAATTTTTCTTAGTTTTTTAGTTATGTTCATTTGTGTGTTATTTTCAAAATATCAAATTTGATTTCTATGCTGAGTTTTGTTGTCTGATTATACTAGGCAAATTTATTTTTTTCTGCAATAGTCTCAATTTATTTTAGAATTCGTTGGCTAGAAAGGTCAGATAGTACCATTTTTGTTCTAACTAATCGATTTGTTAAAAGTGTTTTACTAAAGAAAAATGACTTTTATATCACAAAATAATGTTATCACTGGTGAATTAGAATGGGTATTTCTTGATACAACTAAATATGATCATGAACAAGATTTAGCTCGTTCGGCGTATGCTGATATGCTCCATGATACTGAAAGAAATGTATTGTATGAGAAAGCAATTATCAAAGCAATTGAAAATTTAAAAAAATCAAATAATCCAATTCATATTCTTGACATTGGCACAGGTAAATATAGATTTCTTTGCTACTCTTATCAATATATTTAATTATTTATCTTCTATAGGTACAGGATTATTGTCAATGATGGCTGCTCGTGCATTAGAAAAATTTCAAATACCCCATGATCAACAACGTATAACAGCTTGTGAAGTAGATAAACCAATGGCGGAAATAGCAAGAGAATGTATCAAAATAAATTCATTAAAGGATCGTATAAATGTTATCAACAAACGTTCAACAGAACTTGATTTATCTAATGATTTAGATAATATACCTATTAATATGATAGTTGCCGAAGTCTTTGATACGGAACTTATTGGCGAAGGTGCTTTGAGAACGTTTCATGATGCATCAAAACATTTAATGATAGATAATAAACAAAGTATCATTGTTCCAGCTCGTGGTACTATATTTATTCAATTAGTTCAATCAAATTTTCTACAACTGTTTCATACAATGAATGATATTGAAAACAAGAGTCTTCAAATACCGTTTGAATGTTCTAATTTAGCTGGCAATAGTGTTTATGATTTGAATGTAAATGAGATACATGAACACATTATACCATTGACAGAACCGATTAAAGTATTTAATTTTGATTTTAAAAATATTAACAATAGTAAACAATATCAGGATGAATGTATTGTGGATAATATTGAATGTAATAAGTCGGGTAAAATTAACACATTTATTATGTGGTGGGAATTAGATATGGATGAAGATGGTGAATATAAATTAGGAACAACACCAATATGGTGTACTAGACAACAACCACAATGGAGAGAACATTGGATCCATGGTGTTTATTATCCAAAAAAACCATTGAACATCAATCAAGGTGATAAAGTATGTTTTCTAATGAGTTCGCAGCAAATGGTAGCGTGTTTCGATTTTGTTTAGGTATCTCTTTATTGTTATCACGATGAATATAGTCTTTATTTTGATGTTCTTCCATTTGATATCAAACAACCTATGAATGTTTCTCTATTTTTACCACGATTGTATCTTCCATCAATTACAAGTCGTTCAGCAATAGCTTCTTTCAATTCCACTTATCGTCGCACAAAATATTTGAATGCATTGAATATTTTGTTGGAAAAATCAAGTGATACTCTACGCTGTTTATACATTGGAGATGGTCTATTATTACCGTTACTTGTATTGACAATGTACGAAGACGTTGAATTGTATATTGTTCAAACAAATAAACATCTCATCAGAACGTTAAATCAAATATTAGAATACAATAATAAACGTTGTCATATAATTGATAAATCATTAACAGCATTGACTATTGAAGATTTTGATCAGAATAAACTTGATATTATTTTATCTGAACCATTTTTTTCAAAATCACTCTTACCATATGATAATTTATATTTTTACTATTCATTACAAACGTGTAAAAAGTTTATGAAATCAAATTTCATCTCAATGCCGTGTCGTGCAAAAATACGTTGTATTGCATTGGAATTTGATCATTTACATAAAATACGTTTAGCAGTTAAAAAATGTTGTAATTTTAAGTTAAAACCATTTGATGACAAAATTTTAAATGCATCAAAAATTGTTGATGATTTTATTGAAACCCAACCATTATTTGAATATTCATCAAAACCATTAAGTAACATAATCGACTTATTACATTTTGATTTTAAAGAAGATAATCGTTCATCAACAATTAAACAAGATGTAGAAATATCTTTAATTCAAAATGGACAATGTAATGGTATTGCTGTTTGGATTGATTTTGAACTAAGTGATGGAATATGGTTAACAACCGGTTGTGAAACAATCAATTTTAATCAGCCTATGCAATGGTCGACATATTGTAAACAAGGTGTGCATTTATTACGAAAACCAATCAATACACCATCATCTTTAAAAGTTTCAACACAATTTGATTATCAAAAAGGACATTTTTCGTTTGAATTTCATGAAAACCTTGTTTGAACTAGTCTTTTATATTGATTTTTAGAAAATGTTTTACTTAAAGTAAAAACGAGAGAGAGAAAGAGAGAGATACCGCATAGTACTAAAAGAAACAGATAAATGATTATAACCAATAGACAGATGGTAGATCTCAAAAACGTTTTTTTGTTTGTGTTTTAGGATAGCTGTCTGTCTTGCGTTAGTTCTTACAACTGAAAAAAAGAAAAAAGTTTGAGGATTATAAGATGACTTTTTACACCTATGCTTGCTTTATTCAACTAATTCAGATCATTTTTTTCATTTGAAACGGCTATCTACGGGATGAGCGAGAGCAAATAGTTGTACGGACGTGGGAACACGTGTGTTTCTCAATAAATTTAAGCGAATCTGTCCATATCTTTTGCATTTCAGATCAAGTATATTTTAATATTTCTTACAAGCGATTCGTGTAATTTATCTTGACTTGTCAATTAATGTCGAAATATTATTATACGAGGAGCAATATGTAATGATAGTAAGGTCCATAGTCCATATGTTTTTTTTAAATTATTTTTACAGTAGATAACATGTTGTTATTCGTATACCACTTAACCCTACTGCAATTTAACATCGGATCATCCAACATCAAGATTTGGAAGACATCAGTTGTCAAATAGAATACAGAATTTCATGATGACAAATGAGCTTAACTTAGTTTACTATGCAAGCAAACGAACCCATGTCGTTAAAACGAAAATTTTTTTTTGCATTAATCAAGTGAATAAGGCAAAAAAACTGCAAAAACATAAGCGGTGTAACGCAACAAATGGTTACAAAAGCGAAATTTTGCCAAATTCTTCAAGAACAAAATATTCACAAAATTCTGTATTAGTCGAACTAATACAGAATTTTGTAAACATTTTGTTCTAGAAGAGTATGCAAAATTTTGTAAAATTTCGCTTTTGTAACCATTTTTTGCGTTAGGTCACTTACGTTTTTACATTTTTTTGACCACACAGAAAAGCTTTTGCAATTTCTACATGGAAAGTTTCAAACATGTACAACACAGCTGCCACTGTTAAACGAGCACTGAATAAATTCAAACAATTACCAATTAAAACTAAAAGAAATTGACTAGAGCGATTCATTTAATTGATTTAGTAGAAAGATAAATCTGTTCTGATTTTTCCCTTTTTATTTACAGTATTAGTAATCTTTGCTGGTGTTTTTTGTTTTGAAACTTTTGCTGTACAATGATCTGATTTATAATATGTTGAGTATTTTATTTTGATTCTCTGTTTAGAGTCTGATATCTTGTTTTTATGTATCGTTGAAAGATTTTTTTAAAATCTTCAATGTCTGATTATGTATGACTCATTGGTGACTATACTCAATAGTTGTCACGAGTACTTTCGATAAAACGGTTACTTTTGTATAAATGACTTATGGTAGAATTTGATTATGTTGGCAATAAAATTGTAAGAAAATTAAACAATCATTTTCTATTTTTTGTACCTACATCCTTGGCTGAGGAAGCCAAACAGAATTGTGTTGGCTTTTTGCTGAGAAAAAAAAATGTATCTCGTGGTCTTTTTCCTATGACTTGTCAATCTTACTGTGAAAATATGCAGAGGGCACATTCATATTTCACATTTGTCAATGAAGCTTCTGTGAGTTCTATTTGAAGAAAATGGGACCAAAGAAATATTACAGATGTTGCACGTCAAAAAAGTAGTATAGTTCTAATAGAACAGGATGAAAATATATGTATTTATTAATTAAACACGTTAATTTGTCCATTAAGTAGCACTGAGTACATTAAATCAATCTTGTACTTTGTTGTTTTTGCTTTCAATAAAATGTGACACCTTTTAAATCCGATCTATTGCTGGATTAAGGTCGTATCTCTCACCAGCAAACAAGAAATATTCTTCTTTTTTTTTCAGTACACGGTATATATAGTTCACAAACTTATGTGGAATTTGATGCACTGAATTACTTTGCCCTTTTTCGATGTATTAGCACTATACGTTCTTTCATTCCAAAGGTATTTTCAAACTGAGAAACGACGAACTAAATTTGGCAAACTGAGAGAAGGTGAAACATTTTTTTGTGTCGTTCGGGTGTTCTTTTTTTATTTCTTCTTTTTCCTCAACCTGTTTCTTCTCTTGTGTGTGTGTGTAATGCAGATATTAAGTCGGAGAAGTTTGCCTTTTTCTACCAATGACTAATGCATCTACTTTTGTATGACGTTGACGTGTGTGTACGTTTGTATTAACCTGGTTGAAATTATGTTTTAAGTTCTTTGATGTGAGTATGTGAAGTTCATATAGATCACCGTATTTATTTTCAATTTAATAAATTTGACGATGTGTGTGTGTGTGTGTGCTTCGTGTAAGAGAGAAGTCCCGTATCTATGTATGTGTCTGTCTATACAAAAAAATTGACATCTTAACCACATTTTTTCATCATATAATTGAACTGAAATCTAATCAATGATTTTTCCATATAAAAATTTATTTTCTGTAAACGAGATCTTTAACATATTTTTTTCCTTTAATCAATTTTATTAATCGAGATCCAAAACGTGTTATTTTTGATTTCTTTTAAACTCATTCTTACTGTTCTCGTTGTACCAATTTATCATTTTTTCCTACAGCCATTCGTTTACTTCCTTTTTTTTCTGCGGATGTGGAGAAATATAAGAATAAGTCATATATAATAAATCTGGCATTGCTATGTGCTTGTATTGATAAAAAAAGCTGGCGCACACAGGGTATTAGTTTCTTTTTCTACCACGGATGCCTCTTCTTTCAAAATATATAAAGCAGAAAATTGGTACTGTGTTCTATTTTCAACAGTATCCTATAGAATATATTAAAAAGAGAACGAAGCAAAAAAACGACGGATCCATTTCTCTCCGAACACTTCCATCATCATCAAAACTATACGCAGACATTTAATATTTTTATCATCCATCCATGTATAAGCGAACCGAAAAGAGAACACACAGTACACAGCGAATACATTATTCTGTTTTATATATATTCTAAGTTCTCTCTAAAGCAAGCGTAAAACTGAACATACATGATGATCACGGATCCAGTCAGCGTTCGTTCCTTTTCATATTCTGGTAAACGTCATCGTTTTTTTCTTTACTTCTCCATATATATATATATATATATATATCTATACAAAAACAACTATTATAAGAAAATCCAATGAAACATAAATAATGAATGAAATGTTCATATATGTGCACTCATGATGGTGATATAGAGTAAAGAAAAAAGGGCAAAAGCAAAAGGAAGGAGAACAAAGATAGGCAAGCATTCGGAATCGAGAGGTGTTCATTGTCTAGAAAATTTAATTTTTATTCTCTACCGACATTCATTTTCTTCTTCTTGCAGTAACTTGACGAAAAACAGAAATTGAAAGTAAGTTCTTTGTATGTCATATATTTATTTCAAAAGATTTTTTAATTTTTTGTACTACAATGTCTTAAACAAAAAAATTATTAAAAAAGTTTGTATTAATTTGGCTAAGTTTCAACTCATATTGCGAATGTTAAATGTACTGAATATATGTTTAAGTGATGTCTTAGATGAGATAGTATAGACGTATCGCCTGATCTAATCTTGTAAGAATTTTTACCTAATACGCTTGTGACTTAAATTTTCATAGGTGTTATTCTTTTATTCAGTTATGCAATGTCACTTTCCTTTTTCTTTTCTTCTTTGTGTTCTCAGTAGGAATGTATAAGTTCGTTCATCAAACAAATCTATTTTTTCAAAAGTTAGTTGAATAATAAGCAACTGAGACAACGTTATGTGTTCAATTATTTTATTTTTCAACCATTTAGTTATGTTAGTTTGAAGAAGATTTATTTAAGAAAAGTTTTTGCGAACGGTTCTTTTTGTTTTTAAGCGATATTTTCACAGATTTAACAATTATGAAGAAGAGAATATAAAAGAATGTTTGCTTAAATTATTTGATTGTCTGTAATATAAACCTACAGGAATGGTTCACAATAGCAATTGTTTGCCTTTGTCTACACTACGCGAATATTCATCCATGAACGAATATCGTATTGCTTTTGAAGTGTTAATGTTTTAGTGTATATAGCTTTTTTTTCTATCCGATACTCTTATCTAATGTACATTAGCTATATATCGTCTGATAAAAGAAAGCAGCACGCCCAGATGAAAGTAACATAGGCATCTTTTTACTTTTAATGGTATGCTCTTGTTTTTCTCATTTTTTTTTGTGTTATTGTTGTTGAAACCATCCAAGTTTTAGGGAGTTTCTATTTCTGCTTCCGGAAAACTGACAAGATACGATTGACAAAGAAGAAAAGGGAAAAAGACTTTTTTCCATAATTTTTTTCCTCTTTGGTATATCTCAAAAAAGAAACTTATGTCTTTCCTAGAAACAGAGTTGCTCTTTTTGCGCAAAGTTCGTTTCTCAGTATGGTTTTTGAGTATAAAATGATTATGATGTACACATGCCACACACATTCCTTTGAACCTTCCTTTTTCGGAGAACGAAAATTTTCAATACAAATACAAAAAGCGAAAGTTGGAAACAAGTGTATGTTATTGTGAGTAATATATAGAAAAATAAGAACGAGAAAACGAAGAAATGAAGGAGAGTGAACAATCAAAAACGGAAAGATAAAGCGAATCTACTTAGGACTGAGTCGAATATTGTCTATTCTATACAAATACAAAGGCATGCACACATCTTATATATGCATTATACTCCTTTGCTTTTCTAACCCTATTCTTTATTCCCATTCCTATTTTGAAATAAGAGATTCACGACGTTTTGAAGCCTGATATACAGAATACCATCGTGTTTGTGTATCGGTGTCCTGGATAAAGGGACAGAAAGAACAGATAAAAGAAAATGTAATGAGAAATGTATCCGAAGGAGGCCATACATGGCTCTAAACTACAAGCAAATTTCCTTTGGCAAATATAGACATGTTCTTCTTTTACTCTTTTTTTCACATACACACACACATACAGCTCAACTTTTTTTCATTTTTTTGTTCCTTCACACGCAAATCAAATCTTTTCTTTTTGTATATGCATATGGTTTGTTTCGGAGAGTATACATCGAACACAGGAGGAGGTGGATAAGCACTTTTTTCTCTTTTTGTCGTTGCCTTCGGGCACGTCATTATATCAGTAGTGATAGTAGTAGTAGCAGTATTGGTCACGTTTCTTATGTTCTTTTAGATTATTAAATTATTGATCTGGTCATGCAGACGGGAACAGCATTTATTTGTCCGTCCTGCAATTTCAATGGAGAGAGTTTACCAGAGCTCATTGCACATATGGATGTACATGCGGATGGTAAGAGATTATTTTGTTTATATTTTGATATGTTTCTAATTTAATGTTGTTTTATTCATACCCTTTCGAAGAAAACCATGCACAGCCAACAAAAAATGAAATGAATGAACAACAAACTGATCTTCCTGTTCAACAACGTTCGAGACGAAAACCAACATTTAGTCATCAAGTTAGTAGGCAAATAATTTCAAGAAATTTAGATTTTACTAATTTTACCTTTTAGATCATATCACAAGCATCAAGACAATACGCGGATGTTAGACAAAATCAGAATATAGATTCTGGTAAAATAGCTGTTGTTCTTGATTTTCATTTTCACAAAATTTCTTTTTATAAGGTTTTGATCAGTTATGGGAGAGAATATCATCAGACGAGGTTAATCGAAGTTGGAATAACAATCCAGCTGGAACAGATCACAGCAATGGACGCCGAAACGAAAGTTATATGGAGGTATGCTTATTTTAAATTGATATGTACGTCGAAGAAAACTCTTTATATTCACATTTTCGAAGATAAATGATCCACAAAACGGAGGAGTCAATCATGCAATGAGGTTTGAACGATTATACGCATGTCGTGCTTGTTCTTACGTTACGTCAAATCCAAGAGTGTTATTACACCATCGCCGAGATCATCACTCAGAAGATTTGTTAATTTATGAGTGTACATTATGTCAATATGCAAGCGAATACAACGGAAAAGTTGAAAGACATTTAACAACATGTAAGATCTTCTCATTTTATCTTGATTTATGTGACTAATCTGACTATTTTGGATTGTTTCAGGGCATAAACTGGATAAAAGTATGTATACTGCATTCTTTCTCTCTACTTATTACTCAATAAACCTTTCTTATAGATGAATGCAAAACAGCTGTACGAAAATGCCGTGAAAACGATACAAATGTATGTTTTCAAGTACCGGATCATACGGCGAGTAATGCTGATTTTCCAACACTGGGTTATATGGAAGAATCACTAACTGATAATAATAATTTGCAACAATATAATAATGGTCAATTGACAAGCACAACAAACGCCGATACCAGTCAATTATTGATACCAACAGATGAAAAAAAACAGGCTAATAATATTCATGATCGTTTTTCACTACCATTATCAACACAACCATCAGCAACAACCGTTACAGCAACGACAAATAGTTCTAGTAAACGAAAACCTAATGTGTTACATTCGATATTGAGTCAACAAAGACCAATAGCTCCAAAAATGACTAATAATTCATTTAGTCAAAAGCATACAAATATAAGCAAAGGTATTATAATTATCCCAGCCTCTTTGATGCTGAATAAACAAATTCGATCAGTTATTTTTAGGAATACCATCTGTATCATATGGGCAGTCTACTCATTCTTCTACTCCTCGCCCTTTGTCAGCATCTATAAAATTACTAGCACAAACAGCTCATGGTCAATCACCACCCGTACCAAAATTTATTTCGGATCAATTATCACCGACAACATTTTCCTCTCCATCATCGGCATCTTTTTCAATGCGTCAACAAGAACATCGAAAAAATTTCTTATGTACATTGTGTAATCTTACGTATAAAAACTTTCATGACTGTACAGCACACATTAGGAAAAAACATGAAATAACACACGCACAAGCGGGACGTTATGTCAAAAAATTGCAATCAGATAATATATCGACGTCTATTCCTCACACTACCAACAATCTTCATGCTGAGAGTAATCGTGAGTATCATACGAACCCACTACCACGTCTATCAATACCACAATTGCCCTCACAACCACCACCTTTGATAAATGGTTCATCCGCACGATCATCATTTCAAGTTTCACCATTTCAACAACAACAACCGGACGTGAATAGCAAAACGTTTCGTTGTAGTTATTGTCCGTATTCAAGTGGCTGGTCAAAAGACATACAAAAGGTAATATTTCTTTAACCTTGTATATCTGTCAACAGTTTGTATATTGGGGAAATCTTTTGTTACACTTGTCACAGACTAGTAGTCTTTTTCGTTTTTATCAACTATAAAAAGATTTTCTTCCAGCATCAACGACGTAAACATCCGTTATTGTCACCCCATATAATTAAAAATGAATTAATAAATGGTGAAGCGATACTATCATCCAACCGCGACGAACCGTTATCTAATATAAAATCCTCTCCGCTATACAGTGGTTTGTGGAATGATGTGTCGGTTTTGAATGAAATACAAGATGATAATGATATTGATGATGACGATTTGGAAGCGATGGATTTGAATGGTGATTTTTCATCAATACCGGAAGACGAACAAATTGTTGACGAAGAAGACGAGATGTAAGTCTTCTACTCTTTGTTATTTGATATCGATTGCATTTGTTCCTTTTTTTAATTCTAGTTTATGGAAATTTCAACAGATTCCGGGTCTTCAATCACCACGATCATCAGAAAACAATAATAATGTATCATCGAATCAATACGATACATCATCATTAGCAAAACGTTTCAAAAAATTTCGTTGTCCTCATTGTGACCATAGTGCACCAACATTAACTAAACTGAAACTCCATGTTTCCACACATATTAATATAAAACCGTATATGTGTAGTTTATGCGGATGGAGGTAATATTTCGGTCTGTTTTCTAAAATATGTTAGTACAAAATACAGTATTTTTTTAGAGCTAATTTACGATGGTATATTCAATGTCACGCAAAAAAACGTCATCCAAACATGAATTTTGAAGTATTACAATTATCAAATGAAGAAGCTGAACAAACAATTGACGCTTATATGAGAGAACGTGGTTTAGACTCAAAATTATTTGGTAGTCACGATTCGAAACGACGTTTTCAATGTTCTGTGTGTCCTTTTCGTTCGAGTCATCCAAAATTTGTTGATCAACATATTCAGAATAATCATCCCAATAAAGCGTACTCGAAAATGGTTATATCGAAAAAAAAATTCCGAAAACCACCCACAACATTTGGACAATCAAATGGAAGTAAACAAAATGAAAACATTCCTTCTCGAAATGAAAATATTGATGAAACGTTACAGAAAGTATGTATCTATTTTTGTACCCACTAATGTGTGCACTGATTTAATCATGTTCATTAGTTCATGATACGACTGCCTCGAAAATCCAATGATCAATCAAAAACTGAACATTCGCCTGCACCCACGTCACCACTTCTATTTTCACAACCTGCAGACCATCATCTTCCAATTCCTCAGACGAATGCCGCCATATTTATTAATTCTGATGGTGATTATGTAAACAACGAGACATATGATGATAATAGTAATGGTAGTTTATACAATGTGAATCCAACGACATTATCTCCGAATGCATCACCATCGTTGTCAAAACATCAAAATGACTATTTAACAAAACCATTGTATACAAGAACAAATTTACAACCAGATGGTACGATAACATTGCCGGATCAATCAAAAATTGTTTATAATAACTTTTCGTTGCATTCTAATTTTAATCCCAATCGTTTATTTTATTGTGCAATATGTTACCGAGGTTATCGATGGCGATATGATGTTAAACGGCATCATAAAGCGTTACATGGTGATCCAGAAGGAGAAATATTAGAATATTGTGCACAACTTGATGCATTGATACCATCCAGTTCAGCGTCAACAGCCAGTACAACAGCTCAACACACAGCAGCAGCTATGCAGGTAATGCAAGTTTTAAGAAATTTTGATGATGAACCAATTATAGAAGACAATGATGGAATCCAACAACAATTTATGGTCGACGATAATGATGATTTTAAATTGAATGGACAATCGTCAGCAATACAACAACGGGAGGATATATCAATAATTGATGACATATCTGATCGAGATAAACGTATTGTAAGTCGTAATCAACGGATGGGTGATCTGACGAATAATCCCCAATTTCCAGCACACTATTTTAATCATTCACGAAAACCATTACAACAACAGGAACAGAAAGTACAACAACCACGTCCGATTGTCTCCTCCAGACATCATTTATCAAATGGAAAAGTTGCTATACCATCAACGGGCGCGTTTAAACAACGTATTACTTATGGATTTAAACCATTCAAATGTCCATACTGTTTCTATCGTACAAATTGGCGAACAGATGCATTACGACATATTCGGTATGGTTTTCACGACTTATTAACTCGTTTGATGTCAGTAGCTAATACTTTTCACACAGATCAAGTGTATATTGAATAGAGGGGTGCTATATTATTCGGCTAAAACTGATCATCAACTGACTAGAATGTCTAACGAGAAATGCTAAAAAGCTGCAAATCTGAATTCTATTCTTGTTTCCTAATGTCTACCTACAGCATTTGGGTCCAGAAATGGCAGACTTAGTACCTATTTATCACTACTCATATTGTATTTGTTTCAGAGCTCGACATAAAATCGAACCAGAACATGATGGTTATTATGAATTATCAACTGAAGACGCTGAACGTACATTTGAAGACTATGAAAATACATTTGGTTTTGTTGTTAGCAAAAAAGTGTTGGGTCGTTATACTGAATTTCGTCACATGGAATGGCCTGATTTACAAAAAATGATTTATGATCAGATAAAAGATAAACATGGTTATGAACAAATTATACTCGAACGTTTACGACCATCAGATTATCCACCTCTGGCGCCATCGCAAATGGCATTATCGACAATACAAGCAACAATGGTTCAATCAAAATCGTTTCGACAAAGATCATCAATCATGGCAAAAAATATTGGTAGTAGTGGAACAGTAGTAAAATCATCTAACAGAAATGTAACAGTTCAGCAACAACAACAATTTGTACCATTAAGACATAAACGATTATTCACTTGTAATGAATGTGGTTATAATTCATCAAAAATTCTTGAATTAGAAAAGCATACATGTATAGAATCAATGGATATAACCTCAAAATTTAATGAGCAAGTAAGTTGTACTAGATCTGTTCTGATGAGATAATGGGAAGTGTGTATTATTTTCTTTCTCTTTGTATAGTCAGTTTTTAATCTAAAATCTGAACGATCATTGTTGAATGAAACTAATAATTCGAAAAATGTGAAACGGAAAAAGTTAAATATAACAATTTTTAAGTGTACAAAATGTTTATATCGTACAATTAGTCATTTTTACGCTAAACAACATATTCAATTACATCAATCCATGAAACATAGTTGTTATTATTATTGTTCACATTGTGGTTATAATTCCCATTCACGTTCAATTATTTTATTACATATCATTCAAAAACATAGCTTAACATCAACAGCACGAGTTAAACCGTTTGGAGTAAGTTGTGTGTGTGTGTAATTAGGCATATTTCATATGCTAATCATGATTTGGTTTCTTTTTCTTAGTTAGCAAAATATGCTGAATTTCAAATAACACAAACAATAATTATCGAAAAAGAAGAAAAACAACAACAGCAACAAGAACAGCAACAATTTCGAAATGAAAAATTGTTTAATTGTTTAAATTGTCCCTATGTTTCAATGTCGTTGTTAGAATTTACTCAACATCAACAATTTCATACAAACAATTTTACATTTCAATGTCAATATTGTAATTTCTCATCACCATCTCAACTGTATTGTCGTCAACATGAATTATTACATTTGGCAACAACAAAGGAAGAATATAATCAATTGTTTTGTTTGAAATCATTCGGCAAATTATCGACTCCAGTGGTAAGAAAACAGTATTTAAATATTTATTTCTTAACATGTTTATGATTTTTAGGAAAAATCATTCCAACAATGTATTTCCACTAATGTTAAATTGAAACGATTGGGTAATAGTTGAATAGAAATTTTGAGACGTCGTATGTACCTTTTTCTCTTTTCAGGAATGGCAACAATTATTAAAAAAACTTTAGAAAAACGACCAAGACGAAAATGTCCATTTTGTATCAACTACTCATCAATTAAACCGTCAGACATCATCGAACATATCCAAGTATAGACATATATAAAGAATCATCTTAATATTTTATCATAAATATATGTTATTCTTTTTAGAATATTCATTTTAATGATGATTTATCAACGACAAAATCTGATTTATTATTTGGTTATGATGCAATTAGAGATATTCTCACATCATTTGGTACTAATGCACAATCATCTGACGGTGGCGAAGAACAACCTCAAGATGGTAGTAGTGAAAATAGTGAAATGGACGATAATAATGATCAACAACAACAAGAAAATGGAGATGATAGGGAAAGTATTACTGATGGAAAACAAGAGAATAGTATTTCTCTATTGACAGTGTGAAGATCTACGTATCTTCCTTTATTGAACTTAATTGCTTCACTCTAATTTTGAGTATGATATCATATAATTGTTTTCAATGGCTTAGACTTGTGCGCATAGATGTAGTTGTTCATTTAGGTTTGCTTCATATAGAAGATAAAGCGCCATATAAAATCATCCATTCTGATACTAATAATAACGATACTTTGGCAAATCCAACAGTCATATTCCACTAATTTTTTGTTTACGTTTGAGAATGATGAAATTAGAAAAGAATGACCTGTGGATTTTTTTTTTTGTTGTGTTAAACTCATACCTCCATATACATTTTTTTTCACATACTCTTTCTTATTTATGTGTATCTTCTTCTTTCTAAAAGTTCATGCATCAAGTCAGATTAACTATTCTAGCGTCAATCCGAGATTATTTTCTTTTTATGCTCCATAAACAAAGATAATGGTTTTTCTTTGTGCGTATAGTCAATACTCACTGATTTTGACCGAAGAACGTGTGTGTGAGTTTTTTTCCCTAGTACATCTATCCTCGTTTATATGTAATTATCACATTACTCATTTATGAAGGAAACGAAGAATGAATTTAAGTCGTGTTCACCACAGATGATCTCAATGCATTCTATTTATTTGTGTATGTGCGTGTGTCAATTTTATGACATTAGCTTGATTAAATGTGTCCTTTTTGTTTGTCAACTAACTTTATTTAGATCCTTTGTTTATGAACAGCTCCTCTTGAATGATATTTGTTGCAATAGTATATGTTTGTGGGACTTTTTCTTTTTGGTATTTTATTTTCTTTGTTTTTGTTGAATCGAACCTAATGGATTTGGCTTATTTTCTAACTGTACGTTAAAACAAACTGAATTTGAGATTAACAAACGAAAGTAAAACAGCATTTTTTTCTCAATAAATGAAGCTAAAGACAAGAAACAAAGTTTGATTTGCCTTGAGTGGACAAAGGTCGATTACTACTCACTGCATTATCCCTCGACTACAGAAAACCACAAGTTTTTTCTCACGTATCTAAGCATATCGGATGTAACAGAGATGTACGAAGGACTCATTTTTCAGAAACCATTCTGCCCCCTTCCGTTCTCGTTGAAATTTGTTTCCTTTTTTCGTCATTTTTCAAAATCGCTTCCTGAAGCAGTCCTTTTCCTCGTCAATATCGATATTTTTAAACTTTCGTTCTCACTACACGTCATGTTTTATTTCAAAACAGTTATATTAATACATACAAAGATAAATCCAAACTTTTTATGCTTATTTTTCTACAGAACGGATGACAATAATATTGTTTACTATTTGTGATTTTTAGATTTAGATCCTCGTTGACTAATGGTCTCGCCTACAAACCGACAAAAAAATTTCGCTCTGCTGGACTCTGCCTCGCTAGTTTTGGGATCATACCAGATTCTACTTTTTCCTCTGTGGACTCCTTGATGGTTTTTCCATGGGATTCCCGTCCCTCGTGCATCTCTCAAATAGCAGCATTCTACATCTGAGAACAATAGTTTCTCCTATCGAAGAATCCAATTAATCCAATAGTTTCTTCAATTACACATGAAAAACTATAGTTCCAACTATTTTTTCATAGAAATCTTGTCACAAAAATAATGAGAACATAGACAAAAAATAGAATGATTACTCTAGCAGACATGATTTGAGTAAAAAAGTATACTGTAGAATCGTATAACTTTAGACAAACGATATTTAAGTAAGATAGAAAAGAAAGAAAGGATGAATTGAGGACAAAAATCCTTATTTACAATTAAACATCAGAAAAAGTATAACAGATTTATTGATCCATAGAAAACATGACTGAATTAATATTTACATTTTTTATTTGGTATATTTATACTACGATCTTTTCGCTTTTGTTGAAGATCACCAAAAAAAGTGTGAATATCGGCCGTTGTAACCAAGCCATCTGCTTTATTACGTAAAAATTGTCCAAGTGACTCCTTGAATTCATTGATGCCTAGAACAGATTCAATGTAGTTTAATTTACAAACCAGATTCACCTCAAGTTATTTCAATGACTTATTATAGTTCTCAGAGATTCAACCTTATTCTTGAAGGAAAGAAGCGTATCATACCATAAAGAACTTCCATTTTTGTTACATGATCGAGTTGCTGTAATGAATTGGCTAATAATTTGTCTGGATCTAAATAGTCACTTTTTTCAAATGATTGACGTTCATATTCTTGGATCGAATCTTCTTCATCGAACACAACAGACAAATTACAATTCTCGTACATTTTCTACAGTAAAGAAGTATTCAAATTGAAAGAGAGAACATGAATAATCAAAAAAAGAAAAACTTACCGAGCATTGACTACAACGACAAAGACGTTTTCGCCATCCGTCGCGAAAAAATATTGCATGAAGTTGATCCGCTCGCGTTGGATCTTGTTTTTTCGTTTGTTCTAACAAACAACTATTGTCTTCAGTAACAGGTTCTAAATGAAAGAAAAATCGAAATATTTTCAAACAAAAACGACTTGAAAGTGTATATCTATGCTACCTGTTGTATTTGTTGCCAACTCTAAAAAAATAATAAAAAATCAATGAAGAAGATATTCTAATCATCAGTCTTACAAAGAAGGTATTCTTACCAGCATAATAGGAAAGAAACGGATGTTTTGTAATGCATGTTTGACAGACAAAATCTAATTGTTCAACATCAGTTACTTCCGTTGGCAACGGTACACCTAAATGCTATAATAAAATTGTTTGTAAGAATTTTTCTATTAAAAAAAACGGCTAAGATTTACTCCAGAATGTAGCCAATCTTCACAAATCATACATTGTAACATTTCATCCTGAATCTAAAATTATAAAGTACAGTTATTCGTATTTTTGAGACTCACTTATATATTTCTCTTACTTCACTATCCGGATAAGGTTTTTTACAGGTACAATAAAGTCCACGAAAATTATCATCATATTTATTTAACGTATTTTCAGCTTCTTTATTCTTAAGTAATAGCAAAAATAGCATAGACTGAATAGAATACTTGTTGTTTTTTTATAATCGACTTACTGGATTTAGTTTACACGGTTGATTATCATTGAATTTTGAATTACCACAATCGCAACGAAAATATCTGAAGAGAAATGGAAGTGAACGAATTAGGTAACAAACTCACTGCCAATCTTTATCTATTACCGTCGTGTATATAATTCATTAATTTCATGATCACTGTGACAGTGATAAGCACATGCTGCACATATTCCAGCCAATTGTTGTTGAGAATTATTACGATAACAAGTCATACAAACAAATAGAGCTTGTCGTTTGACATAACCCTAATTTAAAATAGAATATAAATAAGTGAATTGATGTAGCCCTTATATCAAACTTACCTGTGCATAAGTACACGAGTCAACATCGCACGATCCATAAAGAGCTCTTGCTTGATCTAATTCTTGCTCTTCATTATCAATCGCCTCTAATAAATCATCGCACGTCACACAGTCATCGTTCTTCGATTGTTCAGGGTTTGTATCGTCTGTAGACATCTAATTACTTTTTTTCTAGAATATAAAGAAACATCGGCTAATATTAAGTGTGCAAAACAATTTTGAGCACACATAAAATAAATTAAATGTTCTGATCTTACTAATCTAAAATGCTATACAAGTGCACTGGTGTAAAAAACGACATCTACGAGCAGTCAAACGATAAGAAGAAGCAAGTCGAGAATAATAGAAAAAGACCAGTCGTATAAGGCCGCACTTTAATCAATTTTACTTAAAATGTACGATACATTTTTGATTTTCGATGCACGAGGGTACAGTTTTTAATATTCTATTCATTATACCTAAACGTCGTCTACAAACCGTAACAAGTTATTGCTGAGAACGTCCCATCTTAGCTTAGAAATTTCGTCTGTAGACATCTAGTTAGATGAGTTAGGACAATTACTGGTGATGCGAAAGTACAGTCGGCGGCAAGAAAAGTGACAATAGAAAGATGGTGATCTGATAGTTCGTCAATAAAAATAAGAAATAATAAAGAACGTAAAAGAGAATCCTGCTGTGTGACAGATGGAATGAAAAAACGGATTAATAAAGAATTTTTTGCGCACACTTGCTGAATACGATTAAGGAGATAACCACTCATACGATTTGTCATTTGCACCGAGTTAGTCATAATAGAAATACTAGCAATAACAGAGATAGAAAAAAATACGATGAAGTTGGAGATAGACTAACGTAGCTTTCCATTTCAAGATTTTATGCAGTGTAGTTCGTTGAAGATGGAATGACCTTCAATGACGGCGACAAATAGTGTCTTAAATGTTAAGTTATTGTTAGCATAGCCATTATTCGATGGTCTAGGTAAAAATATCGCGCATTCAGAATTTGAAAAAAGCACTGTTTTCATTGGCATTCGATATAGAATTATGAATAACGAAGTTTTCTTCCAAAAATTGATTAATAGCAAACCAAAGATAAAGGGTTTTAATAGACTACGAAATAAGTAAATTTACTGTGCTGAAGTGCTTTACTGACTGGGTTACGCAAACTTTTGAACGTCTCTGCACTACAGTTTCGCTCAAGTCATCTGAACTGCTTGCTCATTTCTAAAGCGACTTAAATGATAGTAATTTTGATTAAGTAATACCAAGACTGGTTTATGTGCTGACAATAGGACACAATCTTCTATACACTTTATACAGGGCGATCCAAAAAAAACTTACCCTCTGTGTATTTATTGACTTTCTTGTGTACAAATATAATTGAACTTTTTACCATCAGTTTATTCGAATAGAACAAAGATTTCTGGACGAAATGAGACGTCTCCGAGCTCTCGAAGAGCTTTTCTCATGAAACAGCATTCAATTTACGGAAGGTCCCATACCACCAAAATCGGGACAATTAATGGGCAAACAAGAAAAATATGCTCTTGGGA